GATTAATGCACAAAAAGCACCCAATTTGGGATTGTATGTTTGAAAGATCATTTTCTTTTAGAAAGTGTGGAAGTTTTGCTCTGTTATGAATGATTGTATGGTTTTTTTTTTTAGAATCTAAAGTTTAGACCCTTCCCCAAAATGTGAATATTCACGAACATTATTTTATGGCGTTCGGAGAAAGTTCTGTCTGAGTGTGGAAACATTTGATTCTGAGTGCTTGACTTGGTGCCCACGTGAAACTGGCCCGTTAAGCTCTCCAGCCTCTAAACTTGGGTGCTCGCAACTCTCCTGTTTAAGCAAGTCACTACTTTCACACCCCTTGGAAGAAAAAAAGTTGCTTTTGCACTATGAGTTCAACGCAAAATAGGTAGGTGCCTTACAGATCATAGACACAAACCTTAAAGTGGGCTCAGACTGAAAAGGCAGGATAACACGCACACACCAGGTGAAAGGCCCCGTGTAGACGGAGGAACCCAGCGGAGTTTTTTGCCTCATACTCTCACCCTGATTATTTTCCCTCTCAGTTACAAAATAATATCGGGCGTAGTATCAAGATTTTATCTTTTAGTCCCTTCCTTGCATGACTGCAAAGTCAATGGAGTAACATCTGTAGTAGCTGAGGAAGGGCTTCCAAGGGGACACAAGGGCTGTTGGCACAAAAGGAGAAGAGAACCTTTAAGGTGCTGTGCGGGTAGGAAGGGGGACCTGCCATCGGCCGCAGAGCGGGAAATGCCGCTGCGCTGCTCGCACGGATCCAGTGTGTCAGCTCAGGACTGGCCAAGGACTGGGCAGCCCAGTGGGCCAAACACTGAGCGAGAGGCTGCCCGGGCGGGGCCTGGCAATGGACTGATGGGGAAGCCATGCAGAGCACGGAGCCTCCCACAGGCCCCATCTTGAAAGTGTCTCACATTTAGTCTCTTTCCTCTTGTGTTAACATTCCTTGGGAGCTGAGATTCCCCTGTGTGTGTGTTCCCTCTGGCAGTAGCCTGCTAATCACCCCCTTTGGTTTATGACATGTCTGGGTCCCATTGTCCCCACACCCAAAGTCCCAGTGATTACCCCAGACCGGGCAGACCAGAATGTAAGAACATTACTGGGGACACCCTGTGCTTCACAGGCTCCCGGAGGACGGCAGCAAAGCCAGGTTTGGGTGCCCCTCTGCCGGCCCCAAGTGCCAGCGTTGCTTGATGGGACAGAAAGGCTCAGCAGAGGAGAGAAACTGCTGGTCTGATAGGGCCTCAGAACACCCGGTACTCTCCTCATTCACTTGCTTTCCCTGGAGAAGTCAGTGCAGCCCTGAAGGTGACACCAAGGGTTTGGAAAATAGGAACTTGGACTCATCAGAACCGAAATGTAGTCAACATTAGGATGGAATTCATTAACAGACCACATCTTTTAAAACCATTAATGTGTCCTTTTTTTTACTTTATAAGAGTTGTAACAAGTGGTTGTCAGTTGTCAGCCTCATTTTTTTTTTTTTCCTTGAGACAGGGTCTCACTCTGTTGCCCAGGCTGGAGTGCAATGGCCTGACCATAGGTCACTGCAACCTCAAACTCCTGGGCTCAAGTGATCCTCTCACGTTAGCCTCCCAAGTAGCTGGGACCATAGGAGCACACCACCACACCCGGCTAATTTATTTATTTATTTGTTTTAGAGATGGGGGGCTGGTCTCAGACTCCTGGCCTCAAGCGATCCTCCCTCCTCGGCCTCCCAAAGTGCTAGGATTATAGACATGAGCCACCACGCCAGTCTCAGCCTCACTTTTTTTTTTTTTTTTTTTTTGAGACAGAGTCTCACTCTTTTGCCCTGGCTAGAGTGCGGTGGCGTCATCCTAGCTCACAGCAACCTCAAACTCCTGGGTTCAAGCGAGCCTACTGCCTCAGCCTCCCGAGTAGCTGGGACTACAGACATGTGCCACTATGCCTGGCTAATTTTTTCTATATATATTTTTAGTTGTCTGATTAATTTCTTTCTATTTTTAGTAGAGACGGGGTCTCGCTCTTGCTCAGGCTGGTTTCAAACTCCTGAGCTCAAACAATCCGCCCGCCTCGGCCTCCCAGTCTCACTTTTTAATAGCTCAAGTGGTACCTACCCAGGCATGAAGCCTTCGGCCTTCCTTGCCAACATTCTATTCTAGAATTAAAGATTCACAATATTGTCACAAAGAGTTTTCACAGTCTTCCCACGTGATCCACACACACACACCGGTACAGGAGGGCAGTTGTTTCCAATTTACAGATCAGGAGATTGAGGCTCAGGGAAGCTAACCTAATTGCCCGATTACACCCAGCCAAAATTTGTAAGCTGAAACAAACCTGGGTCTCTCCAATCCCAGCTTTTTTCCTAAAACACTGTTACACTGTGAAAAGCCCTAACTTGTCACCTCTCTGATTTAAAGGCTTAGCTAATGAATACTCGATGCTGTAAAAACTGTTAAGTGCTACATAAATACAGGTTCCTTTGCTGTTGCAAGCCAGCCTTGGTCTGCAATCAGTCTTAGATACTCAGAGTTCAAGTGCTGTTATTATGAAGCCACACCTTCAGTTTCTTTGTACCCAGACTTCCATAATTCCTCCTGCCTTCGGTTCCTTTTCCTGCGTCTTCCTCCTGCACCCAGGCCTAGCTCTGTGCATTGAGGACACTCGGGCCTGGGGCGTCCTCTCTCTTTTCTCTCGTATTCTCATCTACTATGATTTGAAATTCCACCTCTCTACAGAAAACACCAAGAATTATATCTCCAGTCATGAACAGTCCTCTGAGCTCGAGGTAAAATGGCCTGGGACACCTTTTGCATGTCCTCTGAACAAGACATGACTCAGCTGGTGATTTCCAGCCCCTCCCCTATTCCTGCCTTCGTCGGCCCCATCTGGGTACGAAGGCACCGCCAAGGAACCATTTCTCCCTCCCCTCGGCAGGGCCTGTCCATTTCCCAGGATAACTGCAGAATAATCTTGAATACTGATCCCCTGGCGCTGCCAGTCCAGGCTACCTCCCCGTGTCCTGTCAGCCATTCCAGCAGCCTCCCTTTTTAACTCCCTACGACCCATTCTCCACACACTTCAGCCAAAGTGATTTTTTTCTTTCCAGAGTGATCTTGAAACAGATCATACCGCTCCCCTGCTTACAACCCTTCAGTGGCTTCTCTTTGCACTTGGAATCAAATCTAGTCTCCGCCCCTCTCCTTCCACCCGCCTCCCACCCAGGGGCTCACTGATGGGCAGAGTTCCTCAGCCTAGAATGTTCCCTCCCCATTTGGAAGGTGCACGCCTTCAACTCGAAGCTTACCCTGTTCCTCAGAGAGACCTTCCTCTTCCACCTGGTCTGAGGTGGGTTTCTTCCCCACTTTCCCCACCTCTCTCCCCCTCAGTACCATTTCCCTCATCTCGCTTTATCACAGCCTGCATTTTCAGTTTGACTTTTGGCAAGTGGCAGGTTCTCGATGAATACTTGTTGACTGAATAAAGATACCCCCCTTTTCAATCTTAGCACCAAGACGTACCAATTCACTGCACATTTATATTTCCATTTCATCTTTGCCTTTTTGCTTTGCAATCCCTTTGCATGCTCAGGTTTTAAAATGTATTGGAAGACCAACGTTGTACTGTGAGGGAGTCTCAGGGGAAGCTCCGCTGTGTGCACGGTAATACGAGGGCCCAGATTCCTCCTAGGCCGAGGTGACTCTCGGAGCGGGCTCTGGGCAGTCCCAGGGAGCCAGGCCCAGCCACAGGGGGCCGGGCTGAGCACAAGTCCTCCCCTGTGACAGGTCACAGGGTGACTCTGAGTTGACTTTCCACACCTGCCGAGCCCCCCGGACTCTTCTCCATCCAGCACTTCCTCTCATCCCGCGGGAAACCACGACCAAACTGGAGGCCTGGGCCCCTGTTCGTATTTCCCAGCAGGCCCTGCTCACTCTATGTCGCTTCCTCCAGGCCGCTTCCCTTTCCGGTGCTTGGCGGCTGGCGTCTCCATCCACAGCAGCTCTCTTGGGCTCTGTTTGGTTTAGGGTTCCTGGTTCCAGAAGCTGTCGCTGCCTGCTTCATGCCCCCCGCCGTTTCTCCTCAAGAATGAAAATCACCAGTCACGGCGAGCGGCCTGGCTCTCAGGGAGACAAGCCACCGCCGAGCTGAGAAGGCGGCCCCGTCCTCCCGTTCCACGGCAGACCACGCCTGGCAGACACTCTGGGGTCCCCGAAAGCCAGCCCGTGTTGCTTTGACTAGAATCAAAATGGAAGGAGTTTCCCAGAGTTCTGGTTCCCTAAAGAGTGTGTCCTTGCTCTTTTTTTCCAAAATTATACAGTCAAAGTCTTACTTATCCAAATTTACCACAATTCGCTGACTTGTTCTGAGTAGTGGCGGCTCTGGCTGAGGTTCTGAGGAGCCCCGGCTCCCCGAGGAAGGCAGGGACGCCTAAAGCGGGGGCGTCCGTGCAAGGGCTCAGGACCCCAGTCCCCACCCCGCCAGCTGAGCAGCAGCTGCAGCTAGGGGCGCGAGCCAGGACGTTTCACTTTAAACGCAGAACGGGAAGCGGGAGATGGCCCAGGCACGGGGCCGCGCGGGAGGAGACCGCACGCGCCGTGCACGCGCGCCTGCCGCACAGCTCGCCGGTTCTCCTCCGTGGTTAGAAAATCAACTTATATTTTTAAATTATTTTTCAGAAGAATATGACTTTCCGATAAAGCCAAACGTTTAATCACAGCACAATGCCTACACATTTTAAAATCCTTTTCCGCTTTCATCTTATACCAAAAAACAAGCAAACAAAAAGCCCAGGAGACTTTGCGCAGAATTGTGTGCTCGTCTGTAACCAGGTGTGCCGGGGAGCCCGTCCCTCCCACCTTGCCGTGAAGCCGAGGACTCGGCCCTGCCGGGGGGTGGCTCTGGACTCTCCCTGTTCCCAGCACACCTCCGGCAAGTTTAGTAAGATTGTTTGGAAGAAGTCAAGCTTTGGATTCACTGTCCCTCCTCCGTGACAAACGAAGTCACGGCCAGAGCTATTTTCAGCCTTTCCCGCTCCGTCCCCGAGTGTCTCTGCTCGGCCGGTGAGCAGGGCCCTAGAGCTGCTTCTCAGGGTCCTCCCCGCCGCCCTGGCGCTGGGCCTGTCGCCTCTGCTGCACCAGCTGCTTGTCCAGTTCTCGGAGCTGCTTCAGAAAGCCCCGGTTGGGTAGGACGCTGCGGTTCTTGGCCACTTGTTGGATGGCGTCCACCAGGGTCATGTTCCTGTGGATCATCAGGTAGGCCAGGACCAGGGTGGCCGAGCGGCTGCGGCCCATGGCGCAGTGAACCAGGATCTTACCTGCAGGTGGGGCGGGGAGAAGAAGACCCGCACTGAGGGGCGGGTGGCGCGGCGGGCAAGGGCACACGCGTGGGGCTCAGGCGAGGCCCTCTCACACCCTGACTCTCACTCTCCTGCCCCCAGCCGGGCAGGCTACCAGTGGCTGTGCGCCGCAGCTTCCCCCTCTGTAAAATGGGGACGCCGTCCGTATCTTCACAGGGCTGCTGTGAAGGTAAACAACTCTTTGAGTAACTATTTTATCACAGTTCTCTGCAAGCCTATGAGGCAGCCCTCGAGTCCCAGCCTCTATGTCGCCGAGCTCCCCAGAGTGTGGCACCGTGGCCAGAAAGGAAGGCAGGAGGCAGAGGCCCACTTCCTGATGGCTGTGTCGGGGCTGGGGGAGGCTGGCCCCAGGTTCTCACCCCGCAGCGCTGTGCTCCTGGGGTGTGTCCAGCGGGGTGAATGTCTACCTCTGTTCCAGACTGTTCTAGTGCCCACAGACTGTTCCAGAGGCTGCCTGGCCCCTGGCCAGCTCTGCTGATAACTAAAGCGTTTCTTCCTCTCCTAGCAAAAAGGGTAATTCTTTCTGTCATGACTAAATACTTGAAACAGTCGAAAGCTGTAGTTCATTAAGCCTTTTGGGGGCCTGAAGTTTGTTAAGTGGGAGGAGGGGAGGGGAGACGAAGGGGTGGGAGGGAAGGAGGAACGGAGAGAGAGGACACAGCTGTGGCAGGAGATCCTGGGGCTGAATTTCCTTTTCAAGACCATGGCGTGAATGCCATCGGCCACCTGAACTCGGTAGGTCTCCCTGGGGTAAAGGGCCTGCTCTTCTCTGGAGGCCTTAGCTTCCGATTGGGCCCGACCACTTTCTTCTGGGGCCTGTCCCCGGACCCTCAGGGCACTGCTCCCTCTTTGTTCTGTGGCTTTGCCAAGCACCACCCTTTAGGGCCCAGCATCCAGCGGTGGGAAACTGCTCTTAGGAGAGTTGGGACAAGACAGGCGAGGCAGCTGCATTTAGCCTATTCCCAGCACAGACCACGCCAGAGAACCAGGAGGCTGAGCTGGACAGCAGCCAGGGCTAGGGCCTTGAGCAAGGGTGGCACTGTCAGCACTGGAATTTTCTAGCAGTGAATTTCAAACTTTTCTGTGTGAGCCCAGTAAACACTGCAGGACAAAATTCACAGGTGACACATTTATGCCTCACTCCACCTGCTGACTCTTCCAAGCGCTTCATGTATTTTCTCATAGTCAGTTCTTACAACAACTCGATGATGTAAATAAAATTATTATCCCCATTTTACAGATGAGGTAGCTGAAGTGCAGAGAAGTGCAAGTTGCACAGCTAGGAAGTAGCAAACCTGTGATCTGAGCCCTGGCAGCCTGACACCAGGGTCGATGCTTCTAAATACTATGCGGTGCTGCAGGTGTGTGTGTATCAGACAAAAGTTTCACAGATAATATGCACCCTCACTACGTGTAGCGCATGCTGGTATTTTCCATTCTTTTCTAATCTATTCAGTGTTTTAAAGGAAATGCTAGTCATAGCCCCCAAGTTGATTTTGTGACTCTCTCATACAGGGGTCCCCAACCTATGGTGAGTTGTATAATTATTTCATTATATATTACAATGTAATAATAATAGATATAAAGTGCACAATAAATGTAATGCACTTGAATCATCCCAAAACCATCCTCCCCCCCACCCCCTGATCCATGGAAAAATTGTCTTCCACGAAAATGGTCCCTGGTGCCAAAAAGGTTGGGGACCGCCACAATAGGTGTCAGTCTATGTTTGAAAAATGCTGGTTTCAATTCACCTTTACCAAAAGGTGAATTCCCACAATCTTACAAAGAAAACCCAAATCTACAGGGCATCCCAAAAGTCACCATACGTAGAGAAAATGGGAAATTATAGCTAAACATACCTTTATTTACAAAATAGTCATTACAAAATTTTTCCTTTGTATGGAGACTTTTGGGGTACCCTGTAGGATCTGAACTGTTCCTCAACTGCATGTTGTCCAGGGGGGAGTGAAAGGGAGGCCTCTGTTGCTCAAATCAGACCTCCGGGCCGAGGCTGTTACCCACCACCCTGGCTCCTGCCCCCAGCCGGGTGTGCGTATGCCTGCCTTGGTTTTAGGGGTGCCCTTTCCCTGTCCCCCACTCACTGTCTTGGAATCTGCCTTTCTCAGCAATATGCAGAGAAACCCTGGTAGAGTTCCTGCTTCTTCCCAAACAGTTCTGGGTGTGTGGAAGTCCTGAGAAAAAGGGTGCACGGTGTGCTATGAACTGCCAGGGTTGAGGGGAGACAGGGGCGTGGGTGTGATATTAGGGCAGGAGACCCTTAAAACACTCAGGGACAATCTGGTCTGATTACAGTTTAGAAGCACCAGGAAAATCAGCTCCTGCTCGGAAGCAGACTTCATTTATTTATTCATACCTGCCTTATCCATAATAGATTTTAAGATGGCTTCAAAAGCGGGCTTTGGACTATTTAAGAAAAAGAAAGAACAAACGAAAGGAGAGTGGTGATACTAAAAATCTGATCTTTAGAGCCTCATGACATCTGCCCTGGAGTTTCTTAGAAAATCTCATTAAATTAAAACCACACTAATTCACCTCTGAGGACGCTGTGTCGAGAGCAGCTAGGGCAGTCCAAATGGGGTTCCTGTGGCAGTGTTTTGTGATTACTTCTTTTTCTGATGAAGAATGACAAGTTCGGTTGTGTCAGATCCTATAACCAGCTGGCATGCCTCGCCTTCCATGATATTCAGTGACCTCTTGTACAGCAAAGTCACCAGGTGCTCGAAATAAGCGAAAAGGGCTCTTCTGTGAGGCCTCAGTGACAGGAGGAGTCCCCGCTGGCAAGCAGGTGTCCTGACGGTGCCACCTCTGATTAGCTCTGTGACCCTGGGCATGTCACTTGGCTTCCCTGGGCCTCTGTTTTCCCAGCTGTCAGGGCAGGACCGTGGACTGGATTATCTCTGAGATTTTTCAAGAGTGACTGAGGCTGCCTGGGGAGTTCTTTCAGAAAGGTCAAATCAAGGGAGGGGAGGGAATGAGTGGGCCCCAGGGGCTGATTACAGGCCACCATTACAGCGCCGCAGCCCCACAAGGAATGCTTTTCAAAAAGAGCGAGGCTGTGAGGGCCAGGCAGTGGGGAAACAGTACACTTGGCTGAAACTAGCCAACAAAGAATGTGAAAGACAGGAGGAAGCAAGAGAGATAGATGCCTCGCTTCTTGGCCAGACTGTCCATCAACACCTCTTACATCAACAGCACAATAAGAATGTACCAGGGGTCTGGCACTAAAATGCCACAGCAGGGTCCCTTGGGGTTCCAGTACATAGCTAGATACAACCTGACCACCCACTGCGGGTGGCAGGCAGGCCGAGCACCCGCCATCTGCTTTGCATGGAGTCTATGGCGATGCTGTCGCTGAGCTGATGAGCATTTTGTCACCCTGACCACTCAGGGCACAGGCCACAAACTGATGACCCTCGGGTTGTTTAGTTTGCCCTTTGCAGTATTTTAAGAAATTTCAATTTGTTGCCAACATTTAAAAATTGAGTGATTTTATAATAAAATCCAGATTGGAGACTTTCCCTGAAAAGTCAGAAGATCTACCACATTTGTTTGTCATAAGACAAACTTTGGCTGGGGCTGCAGGACAGCTGCCCCTCGGAAGGGGGTACCATGCTCTCTGCTTAGCCACAGTACCCCACACGCACAGCAGATTGAAAGTCTCTGTGGTTCTGAAGGGTTGGTGTTTCAGCCCCTGACTTGAGGAAGCCGTCAGATATGCAAGTACAAGGGTCACTGAGAATACAGCCCAGCCTCCCACGTGGCAGTGGGGTCATGTGCTGCTCCCTGTCCCCAGCCAGCTGGCCTAGTCCCCGCACCCCCGCCCATCCGCTCTAGCGCTGGCACTGTGTCTACACTCTTCCCCCTCAACCCTTTCTTTGCTAGGTGATTTTGACCAACTGGTCACGATCCACATCAGCCTGACACCCCCTGGAGATGCTCTGTGATCTGCCCAGGCCTAAACATCTGACTTGAGAGCCTGATTCTTTCCTGATTTAGCAGTGGGGGCAGACTCCAAAATGACGTGCCAGGAACCTAAAACAAGCTTTCATGTGAGTATATCTTACCAGTTCAAAGTTGGAATGTCTTTTTTTTTTTCTTTTGAGTCTGGAGGCTTTATGATGATGATGTGCACGTGCTAGTGTGGTCATATGCTTCACAGTACACGACCCCTCTTTATCAAACACATCCGAGAGCCTGCTGTGCACCAGGTTCTGTGCCCAGCGCCTTAAGTGTGTCACTGCTGATCCTCATTATAACCTTTCAAGGTAAATATTTTCGTCACCAGATGGAGAAACCAAGGCCCAGAGACATCACATCGTTAGTAAGCTGTGTGACAGGAATTTGAACCCAGCCCTGTCTTCTCCAGCCTGCCAGTCCCCTTCCATTAAGGGTAAGGTCTAAGATACAGTAATGGCAAGGGAGTGCATTAAATAGAAACTGAAGGATTGGGTTGTTGCACTCTTGTTTTTTCACGTCAAATATGTTTTTAGTTAACTTCAAATACTGTGAGGCTAATTTTACCTCATGGTGATGACTCAGTCCAGTTGCTTTTTTTTTTCTTAGGAAAGGGTCTTTGTCTGTCACCCAGGCTAGAGTGCACTGCAACCTCAGACTCCTGGGCTCAAGCAATCCTCCTGCCTCAGCCTCCCAAGTAGCTGGGACTACAGGCGTGTGCCACCACACCTGGCTTATTTTTCTATTTTTTGTAGAGATGGGGTCTCGCTTTTGCTCAGGCTGGTCTCAAACTCCTGAGCTCAAGCAATCCTCCTGCCTTGGCCTCCCAGAGTGCTAGGATTATAGCCGTGAACCACCGCACTGGTGGTTTATGATCCTGCTTGGAAACCCAGAATGTACAGAGCACAAAAGATGGTTCATAAATAGACTCATAAAAGGACAAGTTAGAAATGAGGCATTTTCTAATACAAGCACATTAGCTTTGTGGGTTTTTATTCCATTGTGACATTGCTTTCTGAACCAAAATGATGACAAATTGTTGGTGGCTATGGCGGGCGGTTGGGGCCAAGGCCACCTTGGGATGGCCATTAAGGTGTGAGACTGTCCAACAGATCTGGCCTAGGCCAGCCCCAGGCTGCAGATTCCTGAAGCAGGCCATATGGTCAGTGAGTCTTACAGTCACTACCTCTTGTGGCAAGAAAGGCTTTCAGTAATTAGATACCCTGAATGTGTAGCATACCATTTGTCATGGCCCCACAAAGGGTATGTGACACATTAGGCTGAAGTCAGAGAACAGATTAGGCAGCTGAAGTCGTTTTGGCCTTTGTGGAATGCCAACGAAGTACACCCTGCAGCAATAACTGCATATTGTCTTACCCCTGAAGCATACCTAAGCTGTGCCATTCTCTCCAAAATAGCCTTGTAGCCTCTGCTGGATTAGGGCAGCTAAAAGTGCATTTTAAGCACAAGGACTAGCACTGCGATTGAAAAGACGGATAATTAACGTTGGGAAACTTGGACGTGGCAGGTGCAAAACCCAGATTTTCAAACATAGTTTGCCATAGTAAAGCCCAGGTCGTCAACCTCGTTCGGAGGCCTCACTAATGAGTGTGACTGGGGGATGGGAGTGGTGGTCAAGCTGTGGACTTGGTTGTTTCACGGGAGAATTTAAAGTCTCCCTAAGGAGTTCCACTCAAATCAGCTCCCTGAGGATTTTCTGGCACCGAAGTCCTAGACTGCCACTTGGGTTTAGGCCCAGGCACGATTAGTGTCACAACTCCAGCTTTGAGGGCGCCCAGCCAGCCCTGCCTTTTGATGGCTAATGTTCCTTGGGGTAGAGAGACTCAGACCAAAAGGCCCTTCCTCTAAATTCCCGGGCGGCAATCTAAGCCTGAACACCAGCAGCAGCACGCTCGGTGGGGCAGGTGCTCAAACCTTCACAACCTCCAGGGATTCAGACTTTTCCAGCTCAACCGCAACCAACCCCATTGGTCTGGCTTTGAGCGGGGCGCAGACGCCTGGGCGGAGGGCGGGGCCTTCGCACCGGGGCGGAGCTTAGGGCCGGGGCGGGGCCTAGGACGGGGGCGGGCCACCGGGCTCTTACTGTGGTCGTCGCGCAGCGCCGTGTTGATGAAGGCGGCCGCCGAGTAGAAGAAGACACTGAGGTCGAAGGTGGGCAGGTCTTCGGCCTCGACGCCGTGGTACTCGATGTCCATATCGCGGTAGTAGTCGGGGCCGGTGTCCACGTTCCAGCGGCCGTGCGCCGCGTTCAGCACGTGCGTGAAGCCCGCCTTCTGCAGCCCGTAGCGGTCCAGCGCCGTCGCCCTGGGAGCAAGCGAGAGAGGTCGGCGGCTGCGCGGCGCCCGGACCCGCGTCTGCGGTAGCTCGGGGGTCGGGGGGCCGCCCGTGGCTTTCTGCCCTCGATTCCGGTTCCCAGAATAAGCACCAGCCATCGCAAATGAAGTCCCAAAGCTCTGCTCCTCCCTGCTCTCCTAGGCCACTGGCACCATTTCCTATTTCTAGCTCGGCTGTTGCAAAAAGGGAAGGGGTTGGAGGATAGGGTAGGTGAGCTCGTCATTCGTCCATTCATTCTTTCATCATTCACCAAATACAGGGGCGCCTGAAGCTGGACACTACGGTGGTCACGGAACCGCACCTGCCAAAGCCCCCAAAAGACGTCCAGAATAACCTGTTCATCAGGGTGGCCATTCGCGGAGCCTCAGGGGACCTTTAAGGTGGGCCTCTCTTCTGAACCCTCTGGATGTTTATGGGGTTTGGAGGTAGAGGCTCGAATGAATGGCTTAAGGCCAGACTTTCCACGCGAGGATTGGGGTTGTGCAAAGTTCTTGAATTGATGTTGGCAGGATTGGCCGGCACAACATGAATGTGAAACCGTTGCTTTGGTGAGTGAGTTGTTTGCCTAGTTGGGCAAAGCATCGTTCTGAAAAGGAGGGCTTTTTGAGCAGTCTGATGTTTGAGTTGATTTCTGGGGAGTTCCTGAAGCCAGCAATGAAGCTATTTGCTGGGTTACAGCCTTAAACAGGCAAGAATGTCCAGGAACACCTACCTCGTGTTGAGGTAGGTGGCCTTGGAACATGACTAGAGTAAAATGCAGCGTGGTGAGGGCGGGGCAGAGGTGGGCTGCCAGAGGAAGCAGGAGCTCTTTCTGCCAGCGGGGAGGGGTTCTTTATGGGACAGGGGTCTTTGAATCTGCATCACGACGTGTCAACGCTTGGTGGTGGAGGGGAACAGGAAGGCAAGGACAGGCCAAGCCAAGGAAATACATGACCTAAGGTATGGAGGCTGGAGATATTATTAACAAAGGCCTTTCAGGAAGCGTTCATTATTTCCTGTAATCAATCATATATCCCCAAATGGTGCTCTAGAATCTGTTGTGTGCCAGGCACTGCCTGGTGCTGATGGCAAAGAAGTGAACAGGTTAGTCAAGTTCCCTCAGGAAGCTCAGATTCTAGTGGCGATAGCAAATAAACAACAAAGGACTAAAGATGATTTCAGATGGCAGCAAGAGCTGCAAGGGAACTGAGACCACATGATGTGATACAGAACGACTGTGTCCTGCTTTAGGCAAGGTGGTGGAGAAAGGCCTCTGCAGGGAAGTGGCATTTAAGCTAAGACACAGGGATGAAAAGGAGTGAGGCTGAGCAAGAGTTGGAAGGAAAGTGTTTCATCCAGGCAGAGGGAACAGCAGATACTTAAAACAGAAAGGAAACCAGTATGGCTGAAGCAGCAGGAGGGACAATGGTGTGAGAGTTTGGAAAGGTAGACAGAGGCTGGATCATGGTGGGCCCTGTAGGCCACAGGGAAGGGTTTGGATTTCATTCAAAGTGTGGTGGAGGCCGGGCGTGGTGGCTCACGCCTGTAATCTTGGCACTCTGGGAGGCCAAGGAGGGCGGATCGCTCAAGGTCAGGAGTTCTAGACCGAGCAAGAGCGAGACCCCCATCTCTACTAAACATAGAAAGAAATTATCTGGACAACTAAAAATATATAGAAAAAATTAGCCGGGCATGGTGGCGCATGCCTGTAGTCCCAGCTACTCGGGAGGCTGAGACAGAAGGATCGCTTGAGCCCAGGAGTGTGGAGGTTGCTGTGAGCTAGGCTGATGCCACGGCACTCACTCTAGAGGGTTTTAAGGAAGGGGTGAGCACTTTGCTTTTTAAGATCAATCTGGCTTATGTGTGGAGATGGATTGGAGAGGGCAAAATATACAAGCAGGGAGATCTGTTGGAGGCTGTTGCAGTTGTATAGCCAAGAGAGGAAGGTGCTTAGACTAGGGTGATGTCACAGTAGGACTTGCCGATAGATTGGGAACAGGCATGAGGGGGAAGGACTGGTTTGGCCAGAGCATAGGATGTGAGAGGAGAGGAGAGAAAGGTCTGCAGAAGAAGTGTGGGATTGGCTCATGGGAGTATTTGGATGCCAAGGTCAAGGAGAGCTTTAGACAGTGTTTGAGGAAGGGTGATCCAGTCTGGGCTTTAAGAAGACATCTCTCTTAATAGCACAAAGACCAGTACTTTGGTTCAGGGAAGAGATGACAAGGGTCAGGAACTATAACAGTAAGAGGATAAAAGTGGCATTATGCTCCAGCTGAGGGCTCATCTCAAGGCCACTGGTAAAAGGATGTGGACAGAAGTGACCATATTGGATGCCAGTATGAACCAACACCCTTGGCCAAGAGGAGCCCTGCACCAGAAACACATACCATAGCCCCGCGGGCAAGGGCGCCCTCATGTACTGATGGATCCCTGGAGCTTTTTGTTTGCCATAAGAAGAACCACAGTGGTGTCCAGGGTTTGGGCAGGCATTGAGCATTTAGAAACATTTGCAAACAGCCATTGAAACCGTGGCATGGGGAGGTGGGGAGTCCCACTGACACCTTCCTCCTCCCACCCCCACCCCAGCTGGCTCTTGGTGCTGCCATCCTGACTATGGAACACATTCTGCTTCAATTTTTCCTCAAAAAGGTCTGTTTTTCATTTTTCTTCTTGTCCCAAAGTATGTATACAACAAACGTGATGCTTTGGGGACTCAGATCTGCGCTCCATTAAAGCCTCCACTAATGCAGTCCATCTTGCTGAGTGGCCGTCAACCTTACTTTGAGGTTGAGCTCAGTGGAAAAATTAAAATTAACTCTCCTAGACAGGAAGCTCCTACCCACCATAAAGACTGTTCTCTTTGGGTTTAGTAACTGGGTTTCAATGTAATCAAATGGCAGTTTGAATAATAACAATTTGCACTTTCCCGCCTTTGGGATCAGGGATTTGGGTAGAAATGCAACACGGCTCATTGCATGACACCTCCACATCCTGGCGGGCCGGCTTTGGCTGTGTGTAAGGGAGAGAAAAGGGCTCCTGCGGACGATTAGACTCGGTGGGTATCTGAGGCCTGCTGCAGGTTTTCAGAGCTCTCTGGCTACCTGGGCCGGGAAAGGGAGGTGGTGACCTCATGCATCACTCTGGGGAGTTTCACCAGCTTGTTTTACTCAGAGTTCAGTGGAGGGCTTGAAAGAGCATCCACAGCAGAATGGGAATCTGCAAATAAACACAGTGCCTCGTGGACAGGCGCCATGATGGAGGCAGAGCCATCGTCACAGACGCCGCTTGCCCAGTCCCCAGCCGGGCCAGACACCCCGCTCAGCAGTTATTGGGAGTGGGTGGGGTCAGAGGCTGGTGTCTGGCACTATATATAGTCATTCGTTTTTTTAAATTTCAAGGGCCAGATACATTCTCTGCCCACATGTTCTGTTGGAAAGAGACTAACAAATTCAGGGGCATTTTGAGGTGATGGCACGGAGTAAAGGCCGTGTGCCCCTCTCCTGGACCCATGTGAGTGCCTCTGCCAAAGGACAAAAGACTTCAGAAAGAAAAACAGATTTAGAAATTAACTTCTAGAACCTAGATCATGCCTTAGTTTCTGGTTGTTTAAGAAAAATCCTAGATGTAATCAATCTGTTCATTTTTTAAGTAATATGTCATCTCATGATAAAAATAACACATGCTCAATGCAAAATGTGGGAAACATACTCCCCCGACCAAAAAAAAAAAAAAAATCACCTGTATTTCTACCAGAGATAAAGACTATTATTAGCTATTTGATGGAAGATCTGCCAGTTGGTTTTTTATGCATAGATTTGTATAGTTTTGAGAGGTTTTTTTTGGTGCAATACTATATATACAGTTTCAAAAACTTGAACATGCTGATATATTGTAAACATCTTCCAATGGCAACATATAAGACTTCAATAACTGTATGCCACTCCATTATATAGGTAAATCTCAATTTTGCCTTACCAAGAACTTCACTGTATTTCTTGGGGCACATCTCTGATTATGTCTTTAGGAGAGATTTTTCTAAAGTGAAATTGCTGGATCAACAGATATGAACATTTTTAAATATATTTGATACTTTTTACTAAATTACCTTATAGAAAACTTGCTCAAATTTCATTGTGATTTTTATTCTTTGTGAATTTCATAAGCAGAAAAAATGGCATCTCATTTTCACTGATTTGTTTTGAGCAATGAGATTGGACATTTTGTCACACATTTGTTGGATTCATGCAGTTTACTTTTGAAGAACATTGCAGCCCTGGTTTTTGACCCAATTCTCCTTAGCTCTTCTCCGTTCCCGTGAACCTCCAGCCTAGCTCTGGAGCCTGACTCCAGACTGGGGAGCTGAGGAAGCGACTTCCTTCTCAGTGGCCCCATTCCCTCAGCAGAGCGCTTCCCTCCCTTCCTCCTTCTCCAGCCCAGCCCAGACCCCTGCCAGCCCCTCTGAAGTTGCTCCCAGGGAGCTTGCTTCAAGCCCCTCCCTGGAGGGATGGCAAATGAGCGCACTCTCCACAAGGCGGTCTCTGTGGGCAGTGCCCCTGACCTTCCACTTGTTGAGACCTTCAGCACCTTCCTGATCTCGGCCTCAATACTTCAGTCTCTGCCTGCAAACTCATTGTCCTAGATGTACGGTCTTGCACACAGGGGAGGAGGCACAAGCCCTGAATAAATCCATCTGTACAAACCCTCCAACATCTTCCTTCAAGTGGAGCTGCTTCCGCGTTGCCAGGATTCTACATTGAGGAACATCCCATCATGATGGGGGTGGATCTCCACACCCTGGTGTCTGCGGAGGATCCACTGATTTCCCACACCTGATCGTGCACTCCTGTACACGAGGAGCCGTATCCTGCAATCTGGCACCTTATTTATTCTGATGGGTGTGACACTAGTGGTCACATGCCATTTCATGGGTGTGGCTCTGATGGTGACCTTCTCCAGTGGAGTCTTGACTGTGCCCACTCTTTGCAGATGGA